GCACGACTATAGGACATCCGAATAAGGAATAATCAGCTAATATATTCGGATTTACTTAAAAGGGTGCCCAATTTTTGGTTACCCGATATGACTTTGCTGTCATGCGACATAGGGTCCATCGATGGCCCTCCAATTCGCTAAATCGCATTTAAGTGCGTTCACAGCGTGCAATGGTGAGTAATTAGACTATCCTAGCTTTTTCAGGGAAAAATGTCAAAAGCAGAAGCAGCTTCCACTTACGGACCAATGGCCGTCCCATTCCAACAGACGTGGGATGAGGCAATCGACGAGGAGGAAGAGGAGGAGGAGAGGTGGGGTGATTCTCGGCATATTTTTGATGGTGCACTGATCCACAGTCGCTTGAGACTTTGAAGCTGGAAAAAAATCCGACAGAGGCAGGGTTAAAAAGAAAAAGATTAAAGCATCTCTTGTTACTGCGCCATTTTTGCCAAAACTGAAAAAAAAATAACCCAAAAAAACGGCCCCGCATATTTCCTCGCCAAGTTCTGCTACATTTTGATACATTTGTAATGCTTTGATAGCTTGTTTAACTCTTCATTTTGAGTTCAAGTGCACGTACGTCACAGTCCTTGTACTTCGGCTGGGCTGAATGACCTCCGTGCCTCCAATCCATTCGAATTTAAGGAAGACTGAGGAAGCTGCATTGGTGACAGTGGAAAGCAAACCCTTTTTCATAGGGCAGCTATTCTCGTTTCTACTACTAAATGACAAATTTTACTGTGATGGAAGAAAGTCATGGGATGCGATTAAGAGAATCTGTGACGACTCCTAAGAATAGGGTCGCAAACGTTACCCATCCCAGTTTTGTAATCTGCAGACCTGCTGTTAACAACTGAGACGATACTAACCGTGGACCATGTGGAATTGTTCGTCACGGAACCGTCTACGCTAACTGTACGATGGTGTCAATGCAGTGAACACACGATACCTCCTTCGCCTCCACAGTAGCCAGGTAGAACCCAAGTAGACATAGATTGGAAGCACTGAAGTGGGAGCGACGTGGCAATGAGGAACAAACGCGAAGTCTTTTCCCCACGAAACTGTTCTAAACCCCAACCTATATTACTATGTTAATAAGCCAATGTTCTTACGACTACCGATGGCAATACGGGAAGGTCAGTTCTTCTCCAGTCCCTAAATATATTCTCCTAACTGGAAAAAGCATTAGACATAGTAGAATTGCTATGGGGAATCAGTGATGTTGCAGCAGGAAATAATCTTTACCACAAGCAAATTTGATGACTGTGGCGGTTGTTCAGAAGGTGTTTTTGCCGAAAGCACCAACGACGTCGTGATAGGCGACACAGGAGTTTAACCCTGGGGAGGGCTGTGGACGACGCTTAAAATGCAAGGGGTCTATGTGGTGTTTTGATTATTTGTTTATCTCTTTGTTTTGGTTTTGAGGACACGTAAGGCTCCGTGTCACTACTTCCGCGGGGAGGTATGGCATCCGGGTCAAGCCAGTAGTCTTTTCAAGCCCTTCTGCACGTAGGCAGTGCTTTTCTATCCTAGGAATATAGGCGCTTTATCTTCAGACAATAATTGGTGCACAGCACCGAGGTAAAAGGCGTACCCGGTTACCGCATTACCTGTCTCGTAATTCATCTCGTCCGTTCAAGCAAGCTGCAAATTTCAAATTTCTATGCGCCTATCTCGATTCCAGGAACTCCTTCTCGTTGGAGACAAGGATCATGTTTTTTGGAGAATTGCTTCAAAGTGGAGAACATACCTTGTGCGAGATGCGCATAAACTGGGTCTGCGTGGAGACTGGGGTTGTGGACCGCTTTCTTTCAACGGTGACGGCCAAATCCAACCATCCATCCCTCTTTGCACTACCACTTGATACGTCATTTCTGCACTCTTGAGGTGCCTTTGTTTAGAAATTAAAAAAAATAGAAAAGTAGCAAATATTCCTTGCTTTTAAATAGGTCAGAATAAAGAATAGTTGAGTTGTGTATAAAGTAACCTGAGAAAGAGGGAATACCTAAGCAAAAGCTTTCAGATTTCACTTCACATCTATCTAATCTCTTAAATAATCGGTTCATAGCAGTTTTTACGTATCCGGAAAAAAGTGGTCTGAAATCCTCGAACTGCATTCTGAATGTTGATCTCCGCAGCCAAGAAGCTCCAAAATGCCGTTATACAAATTGCACAACGGTTTGGGCATCAAAATCAACTAAGCTCTGAACAAGGTGCATGAGGTGCCCAAGCTATCTGTCGTTTTTGTCTTAAATGCTTCAGAGAAGATGAAGCGGCTGGATGGAGCAGAGCCTGTGCCTTAATTCTGCATACTTCATAGTCAAACTCAAAGTTGGGGTAAACGAATCTATTTATTTTGGAAAATCTTCTCTCGCAAAGCAGTCCAGACAGTTGTTTTCCATCAGTCCTGAGTGCTAACCCACTGTTCAAAATCCACAGCTACAAAGCAGCAAAACAAACGATTGCCAATTGCGGTAATCGAGGAAGAAATTCCCATTTTTTGCAATTAAAATTGCTAAGATCTTGCATTGAAATCACGGAGAAGTGCGTTACAGTCCAGGCCGCCCTAGAAAGCAGCACGAAAAGTAAAATTTTGAATGAACTTTTACCAGTCATCGCTTTTGCCAGCTTTATTCAATTTTTGAGGCTGAGAAAGCTTTGTCGGAGGAAAGACCTTGTCAGTTGGGCAACTGTCCGTTCCGCAGAAATGTTTTTATAGAGAAAAGGGATAAAATTTACTTGATTTGACACGCTAGGGGAGGGCCAAAGGCGCTTACTAGTTGGCGGTAGTCAAAGAAGGCATCTAAATATTCCTTTCCTCCGATTTCACTTTACCCTATGGTAGGAAATCTAGTCGCTCCGGCTTTCATTCTCCGCTTCTGCAATTCATGGGTTTTCATAGTGGCAAATGCACGCAACCACCGCAGAAAATGGCATTTAACCATCATTTGTTATTCCGAAACACAAATTTTTAAGTCCGGTGAAGGAATTCACTCACCGCATCAAGGACAGCCTTCATTATGACCCGATGAAATTCGAGAATGGCTTGGGGAGCGTAGAGCTCGATGTTGCGGATCATGGGGTTGGTGGGATTCGACCAAGCCTGAAGCTGATCGTGAAGGGTGTCTGGAGAAGAAGAAGAAGAGGCGATTAGTCATTTAATTTGTTCATCTCGTTTACAATCCAAATGAGCCTGACAAATGGAATTTGAGCTTGTCTTCTTTAAGAAGTGAGTTGTGATTGGTTCCCAAGCTGCAAAAGCTTTGCTCTGAATCCATAAAACAAAGTTAGGGACGGGAACTGTTTAAAGTGCTTGAACCTCTGGCAGATGATCGAAGTTTTGGTTGAGATATGCCCAGCACAAATGGTGAATGGGATAGGTGAAAACCCCAAAAGAAGTAGAAAAGAAGAAGTGGGCGATTCTGCTTCACTTTGTCTTCTACACTGGCTTTTCACATTTTTCCAAGTGACGGGAATGTTGATATTTGGTACTGGCATTAGACAATTGTGAGAAGGGTCCACATTTGTGGAGCGATTGAGAGAAGTGTTGATGACTAGAGCTGAATGTTTCGCCTCCAGACATCAGTGTAAACCGAGCATTAAAACTGCTTTCGAAATGTGCGGACCTTAATGATGCTTTCAGGAGTAACTCCAGCACCATCCGAGGGGTGTTTGAGCCACCCTCGGTCTTCTAGGCCTGTCATAATGGGAACAGCTGGCGGTGAGGTCAAACCATCCTAAGAAAATCTGTTCCACCTCTGCCGGCGATGCCAAATTGCTCAGCTCTGAGGTAGTGCCCGTGGTTTTATTTCCAAAATCACAAGCATGTGTCAATGGTTGTCCTTATTATTCTTGAAAATTTGCATTTTTGCACAGTTTCACGACAGACTAAGTATCAGTCAGGTGTCTGCGCTCTGGCGCTTCACGCCGGTCCGGGGGAAGACCTAGTCCAAGGACTGGCAGACGTGTGCATTCAAACCATCGAAAAGTCCTATTGTGATATGACTGAGCCCCTCATCATTCTACTCTGCTTGAAGTTTGTCACTTTAGTCCACAAGAAGCGCTGTTCAGTGGCTCCTGGATGATGTGTAACGGAATGAAGTCTGCCCCCTCCGAACAGGTTTTAGCGAATGCTGCTTTAGACCTTCTTCAACTCTCGTACTCGAGTAACTCCTGAAGCTCAACCCAGAGTTAGCTTCCTTGCAAAAGGTTACTTGGGTCGTTAACTAACTAATTTGAGATACATTACATCACGAAGAATTAGTTCGGTATTAGGCAGTATTATGACCGTTTTACAATATACAAGTTCTAACAGATGGTACGCATAATGTACTGGTCGGCCATGCAGACTAATGCATGGCTTCCGATTTTGCTTCTCTTAGGCATAAAACTGTACAATGCGACCTACTAATGAGACTAGTCCAGGAGGACTGGAGCTTGTTGATTGGACGAAGACAACGAGCCAGGGAGACCTCACAGAAGGAGGGACAGGGGTGGACAAGTGGGTAGCCGGCACAGAGAGAGCAGTGACGCATTTGCATAAGCACCCGATCGCACCCGGCGCTGCCGAGATCAAACTGCAAATGACGTCGTGAAAAAAGAGTTGAACTAAGGAATAAAAAGGAGTTGTGAGGAATGCTAAGAATGAAGTCTCAGATACAGCAAGGGCCATAAAGTCGGCAGATGACTAAGGGGCCCATAGTCGCTACATGCTTCTTCAATGCTGTCTCAATTGCTCTGTTAAATAGGTTTTGAGTTCGACGCATGGTGCATATCAATGCTTTTATTGTCATTCACCCTAAGATGTGACTGGAAGTTCTGTGGTCCTGACCCTGACACGTTAGCCCTCAGTGTTTTACACAATAGCTAAAATACATTCTTCAGGAGCAAGAATATGGGGTCTTCTTCAACATGGTGCTTCATCACCAGAATGAAATCACTTGACCCATTTCCTCGTGGAAAATGTTCCCAGACATGCTGCGGCAGAGCACTGCGCTATGTTCTGCATTTTACGCCTAACAAACAATATATGACACCATCTTCCTTTCCATTTGAAGGTATTTTGGCTTTTGAAGGACATAAGGAATCTTCAGATTGGTAATTAACAGTCATCATTTGGATACGAATGGAAAATCTTCCAGGTATCCCTGCTTAAGGCAAGAAAACATAGAAGACCACTACTCACAGAGCTCAACTGTTCAAGTAGCCAGTGGAGATATTCCAGGGTTTTTGTGGTTTCCATGAGGTGAACAACACTGCGAATCAGGTTGAGCACACGACCGGTCATCTTGGTTCGTTTCATGAACTCCCATACAGTCAGGTGGCCCCGTCTTCCCACGGTGGACCATCGTGACGCGTGTCCACAGACATGCGTACCGGAGAGGCTACGTAGAATGCGAAGGACCTGAGACACCTCACCTGAAATAGCCTTTTCGAGGATCCATGAACAGCTGAAATAGAAATAGAGCCCTACTGCAATTTCCTCTTCCCCTATGTGAATGTCGAATGCCAACATGGAAAGCACAAACACCTGCTATCTTTGGGGTTGGTCTGCCAGTCCTTCTGTAACAAAGCTACTCTCAGGTGCATCCTACACTTCTAATTCTACGGGGTGGGTGCTGAGTGATTTCCAAATGATTATGCTATGTGCTGACTTTAAATACGCGAGTAACCGTCACCACTGGTGTTAGTGTCCTAGACGCAATATTAATTGAGAAGACTTTAAAAGGGCAGCGATCCCAATTTTACCCATTTTTACTGAACCTGGCCCATTTCTTCAATCTCAAGTTCTGCATAACAGACAAACAATGTTTTTACAACAATACATTTCGCCTTTATTGTGCTTTCATCCTATTTCCTCAAAAACTGCTCTTCATTTATTACAAAGCCCTTCAACCATTTCTTCTTCAATGTTTGCAGCAAGCTCTGGCCTCCTTTGCATCCTAACTCACCACTTTTATTGTTGAGAAGAAATCCAAGAAAAAGATTCTCATACTACTGCTCTTAGCGGCTAAAAATTCATGAATTTTGTGTCGGAAAGCATTTGGAGATGGAGCAGAGTTTAAATCAAACAGCATTTAAATACTTAAAAGGCCTGCACTTTCGCGATTCTGGACCACGATGCTAGCTCTAGACGAACTGTGAAGGCAAATGTCACTTTGTGGAAGTAAATCAGCTACAGCTAAAATATATTCATCATCTGTAACTCAAGACTTCCGCAGAAATACCTCAAAGTGGTCCACCATTGCAAGGAAAGTCTTACACTTCGTCTTACATGACGGTGTAAGATCTCCTCCAACAACGCTTGAGAGTGAGTAAATTATGGACCGCACTCTGGAAAGCAGGGAGGGTGGGAAAAACAGAGGGAGGAATGGAGGAAGGGAGAGGTGAGGATGTATTTTGTCGGGCTCATCCACGCTTTGCATATTCCCCCGACCATACTTCGCTGAATTGTGCCGCTCAATTTTTCCTTGGCATTTCGCAACCCCGATTGGGAACTGATGCGAGAGAAGGAGAGGTGGAGGTATATGCAAATTAGGTAGTGTTTTGTTTTCTTCGAGGCATAACTCGTTTCATATAAGTGAAAATCGCAGGCAACCTATATTCTCTTGGGAAGGAATTAACGATATTACTGATGACTACTTGATCGGATGTAATATTTAATAACCATTTTACAGTGCCAATTTCCGACTGTAAAATTAAAATGCTTTTAAGTTCGCAGAGGTAACCTTGATTAACTATATTTTGATAGGTCGAATGCACAGCCTCTGAGCAGACACAACCTTTTGCTTCAAGATTTTTTGTGTCCTCGACTAGTATGTTTTCCTCCGTTACCACTCAAAGGCCAATTCAAGGCATGTCTTAGTCACTGCATTTCCGACGATGAAGCTTATTTCTGATTCTTTTGTGCTTCAGCGACTTTACGAACAAATGGAATGCTACAGAATCGACGGCTGGGTAGAATGGATTTCCGAGTTCATTCGTATCGCTGACGCTACCATAAAGTGTTTTCCTAAGAGCGCAACAATATCACTAAATGTTCACCTGTAAAGGGAGTATTCTGATATTTTGAATACAATTTTGAGTCTTATTGTGGTTATTTATACTGAAGTTTCATTAGGGAACTCCAAAACCTTTCATTTTCTGCCACTTTGTTGGCCTTACAGGCTTGCTAAATGCCCTTGTTTGTGTAGAATATGCACTCAAATTTGGAGAATAGTCCAACCTGTCAGAGGCGCCATTGCGGCAGAACAACAGCAACATAGGTTACAAAAAGTGTATGCAGTGGTAAGTCATCCTGACACAGGAAGAGGCAGAGATGGAAGGGGAAGCGGTAGAAGGTACTCCCTTCTTAGGTTTGTCAGTTTATACCGGAAAACCACTTCTGTCCACTCCTCTGCCTGCTAGTGATCCCTGTGATTAGAGCACAACAATGACTTAGGGTGCGGGTGGACCGATGCAAAAGCCCCTACCACCTTCAGCAAATGGACACTACTCTCGTGGCTGTATTTATTTGCAA